TCACGTTTGCCTTCCGCAGGCGTAATAAACTTATAACTTATAACTTATGCTTCTCATTAGCTGAATGCCCTGAACTGCTCGACTTTTAACGTTGACAAGTATGTTCAGAATCAAACGTCATAATCAAGCATTCACGGCTTCAGTATTCACCACCATCAAGGATTTCGCAAATTATCCTCTTACTTCCCTACGCATAAGTGTTTGTGACTGGAATATTCTTGACCGTGCGAGGGTTTTGGGTGGAACATTCATTAAAGGCACGGTTCACGATAGAAATGGTTTTTAAAATTCCCCTCTAGTAGAAATTCGAGGCACCTCCTTATACCATACCTGCCGCTACAAGGTCGAAAAACGTCATGGATGGGCCACAATAAGGGGCCAGAGATTGTATTGTGTGAACGCTACAATCATAGTGGACGAGTTTCAAACGGCTTTGTAGAGGCTGCACCATTCATAAGGGAACCACTGTAAGAAGTTAAAACAACTTATCATGAAACATAGCGACATCGAAAGGCAAAGACATTGATGTAGTCAGCCCCTTGCACGAAGGGAGCAAGTTAAATCCCGTACAAATATCCCTTACATGACGTTACCGTCACGGTGAACTCGTATAACCTCCACTTCCACTACTTTTAAAAAGCTTGCAGTAGGCNGATTTTCTCGCTTCCTTCGCCACCGATGTACTCCTCTACATCAACACTTCCAAAGTACCTCAAAATTATCGAGAACCGTGCCTTTAATATCCAAAAAGCACGTTATCCACGACGAATGCAAATTCGATTTATAGTAGTTGCTTCAAATCATGTGTTTTGAGTCCGTCGTCACATTGCTGGGGACAATGCGCTTCATGGATACTGTGCAAATCATCCCGGGTTGTTCTAGGCCTCTGAAGAAGACGATACCGTCAAGTCGTTAGGCTTTTAACTCAATTAGCTGTTCCACCTAAAAACCTTGCACGGTCCAAGAATATTCTAGTCTTGAGCAACTTCGTAAATTGTTTTTTAATTTTTTGAACTTATCATAGCTTCAAGTTGTAAGTTGAGCTGAGAGGCTATTGGATACAGTTCAACTCGATTTCTGTAAAAATGGGGTATTTGAAGGATAGTTTATTACGCAGTTCCTAAATAACAAATCAATCTACAAGTATTCTACGAGGTACAACATATCACGGAATGAAATCAAGATCCACGTTCCCCCCACAAAGGATCAGCACCGCATTTTTTATACCGAGCTCGGCCGGAGAGACCTTCAGAAGTCCTGCCAATGGCACTGCTGCAGATGGTTCAACACGTTGCTTGAAAATACTCCACATAAACCAACTGCCATTTTGTAGAAACTGTTTTGAAGAAAGCTCAAACCTTAGTTCGTGCCCAGATGAGCTTCAAAGCGGCCCGAATCTCCTTGTCTGTCTGAAAAGAATTGGTTCACATTGTTTATCTGAGCGTATGACCGTTATTGTGAAAGTAGCTGGGAAGAGGGATTTTTCGATGATGAATACCTTTGTAGTTTGGATCCATCTTGACGAGTCTTTTAAGGAAAAACCCTGCTCGACAATCAATGTAAACTGCCTTAGTTTTAGTGTGCCCTAGTGTTGCGAACATCTGGCTATAGACGAGATGATGTAGCTCATCCCCAGCTCTAACGATCTTCGTTGTCTACAGACCAATATCGAGCTACGAAAAAGAGGACTTGGAAGCGTATCATTAGGACCTGGAAAGTCCTGTAAGAGAGGACCAAACTTTCTTCAAAGTCGTCGTCGGTGATTTCAAAGCCAAGATTGACCGCATGGCCCGGAAAAGCACGGTCAAAGAGCTACATATTGAGACCCACTAAATGGAATGGAATGAGTAGGATGAAAGACTGAACGAGTTTATCATATTGACTCACACCATCCATGTTTATTCGCTGTTCCAGAATCCCTTACATTCACGATGGACATAGAGTCATCTGTAGGCAATTTCGCAATAAGGAAATAGATCACATTTTCGTTAATCGAAAATTTTGCTTGACCAACATAGTGCCTCCTCCGCGCTAGATTTTGCTTTTCAGTGCGTGGAGAAAGAGCTGCGAAATTCAGAGAACGAAGCCCAGGATTGCTGTCAACTGGGATCTCTTCACTTCACTTGCGAGTTTATGGGAAGATTCCGTTAGCGCAACATCGATGAAGAATACAACCGGCGCGTCGAACATCTTCACGATAGTGCCAGGAAAGCAGAGGTTTTCAAAGGTGACTGAAACGTCTCACTTCGAAAACTCTCGAGCTGATACGCTAGCGCGGAATCATGCGAGCTACAGGCAACAACCAGCTAACGTTCGAACTTGCGAAGCTATTCATGAGCTATGTGGAGGAGTGATAAAGGAAGATCTGAAAGAGGAAGAGCAGTAGTTGCAGTTTTGAGTGAAGCCGCCTAGACCGGAAAGAGCATTTGCAAAGCCCATCGGAACTTCGTCAATATAATGCCAAAGTGACTTCCCTCCGTCGTTTCCGTCCTGATAGAGCAGTTGTTGCATCTACATTTCGAAGGGCAATGGAGACCATGATGCGGATGCAGAGAGATACAGACAAAAAGAAGTCACCTTGGCCTTACATTGACGAAACTCCGGCGTGATCTAGGGGAGAAGTCAACATGATGGGCGACTCCAGAGATGAATAGAAGGAAACGTGCGGTGTGGGAGCGCTTAAGAAAATTGAGGGAGTAGCGAAGAGAACAAAAAGCATCCGTACCACGTAGCTCACCTTTCGACACCGCTGCTTTGACATACGCTTCGGAAACTTGGACTTTACGAAAGCAGGGTGAAAATGCTGCCAGATTAATACGACGCGCTTTGGGAAAAACGATGCTTGGAGTTTTCCTATACACGCAAGGGCAGAAGAGATTCCGATGTCACGTCAAAGAATCGAAGATCAGGTGGTCCGAACACGCTGTGCAACAAGCTAAAGCGGTAGTACCGCCGCCACATGGAGAATGAATTTGCTCAGAAACGTTGTGTAGATTTTAGGATTGCGACTTTGACGACAGCCCTGCAAAAGAAGAAACTTAGAGGGTCATGGCCAAATAGTCGGGGTCGAGGTAACCAATTGACGAAATTCCATAGGTTACTATTAAACATCCGGGAATGGTACTATAAAGACGGAGATTTAGATTCCACAAAAATAGTTTACACTAGACCTTGAGATATTCACAAAGGGTTGTGTTGCGAGCGTGACAGAACCTTTTTGAAACCTGAACCTTCAAGTAAACTGATATATCCGCAGCACTATATATGGCCAATATCATCTGGACATGATTCGTATGGAAGAGTTTGATGAAAAAATTTCTGAAAACCATGTAAAATTCAGTGAAACTCACCACAGTAATGATCCTATCAGAGCAGGCTCCTTTGAGTATTGGATAGCAATTTTCGCCTACTTTTAGCACTCTTATTCCATCAGCTATTGTATCGAGTACATCTCTTTCAGTGGTGAGTTTTCCGTTTTTAAGGTAAGCAGCCAGATCTTTCCCTACTGGCTCCACAAGGAACACTGGAAATAACTTTTGAATCCTTAAGAAACTGCGTCGACCGAATGATGAAGCTGATCTGTACTCTACCTTTGATATCTGGCCGAATTTCCGTGATATACGCGGTCACACCACTTGCCAATCCGCCACCACCAACAGCTAGAAAGACAGCATCGGCAGTGGGCACTTGCTCAATGATTTCAGCTCCAATGGTACCCTGCAAGCTATGACTATATCTTGAAGATAAGGTCCAGATAAAATTCAGCATATAAGAACTTCAAAATGAAACGATAAGGGGGCAATAATGCAGAGCCTTATGATATCGTCGTCCCACCGCCTGAGACGACTTCCCTAACTTGAAGGCATACTTTACGATAGAAGTGGTTACTGAAATTCCTCCTAATGAAACTCCTCCTAAATGAACCTGTGACTCCCAGGAACAGTACAGGGGACACTGCCATGTCGAAAAACGGCCAATATAGGAGTAATAAGGACCAAAACCGGAGTAGCCGACGTGCACATCCAGAGGACGACGGCTTCTTACGGCGCTGTAGGCTGAGGCTGTAGAGATGGCAGCATTCGCACCGTGACACACATGTGCACCCAGGCATCAGTTAGTAGCAAATTGTACGCAATGGCACCACGTTTGGGCAGCTCGTCCATGGTTCCACATTCCATGTACTTCAAGACGAGACCTGGGTTCATTCGTTCCACGAAGACTGGTTCATCATTATTCTGTGCTGTTATGGCGCCGAAATCCGAAATTACTATTTCATAGTCTAATATCAACTCCACTATCACCGGAGCACTTATAAGCGATTGAACCAGTCGCACAAGTAGCGCACGATCATACTCATGTTTTGTCGATTCACATCCCGGCCCGGTACTCTCCTTGCAAACCGATCCTTCCATTCTCCGGATTAATTAAATGGTACCAGGCTTGTCTGGCAGGATGAAAAAACTATCCTCCGCAGCGTCTATGCATCGTAACCCATTATTTGAGCAACATACGTATATAAAATGCTACTATGATTCTAAATAGCAGTGGGATGAGGGGCGCATATAAGGGTATTATCAACGCCATGGGAATTTTTCCTTACTAATGGCAATTCAAAAAAGTGGTGTATCCAGTAAATACGACATCACTTCATGTGTAAAAGTTTTCTGCGATGGAAGACACATGAAAGGTCAGCTCTCACTTACAGGTTGGTGGTCAAGCACACACTCTTATCACTCAATCTGAGCGGAATCGGATCAAATTTTGCTTTGTATCAAGTACACTTCTTACAAAACGAAGTTTCTCTTCCAATTCGATAAGCAGTTTTCAGAGAAGTCTGCGAAACGCATTTCAGATAAAAGAATACAAGGACACGAAAAACAAAGGTAAAAGTCGATTTTACGTGAAAACAGCGAAGTTGTTTAAGTGCCAACGTTTTATCTTAGCTCGTTGCAGTATGGGCTTTGAAAAATCATTAACTTGCGATGCAAAAAAACTCCGTTGGATATTTGTATTTGGAAAGCTCGAAATCAGCAACAGTTCTGGGAGAAAACTTACTTGCCCACAAATCACATTTGGATCGTCAAATGGCTCAACAACCCGATAGCCGAGATCTTTGGCCAAACGCGCACACGTCTCTTCCCTGTAACACAACACCGGATTCTCTGACAACCACATTTAACACTCCCCATCTGACAAAAGAACTGAAGTCACAAGAAGCATTGCGGTTTCTTCCTAATCAAGAAGACAAGAATACTTTGGAGACGCAAGAAGAATGCAATAGTCACTTCGTCTGTTCAGAAACAAGATGGTGCGCGTATACTATGTACTCCAAACGCATACTCGTATACTTTGCCCTGGGAGACGGGCGTTAGGAACGATTTCGAGTAATCGATTTGCCGCACGCGGCTGTCGCGGACCACTCATTCTCCGTTATTACAGCTCTAGCGTTCTTCATATGGCTTCGATATGCGATCATTATTTTCTGCATAATTCTACTATGAGTACTTTTGTTCTTGTATTTCATACCCACTGCTGCATCCTGCTACATTCCTTTGCGCGCGACGCCCCTCTCACCGCGACGCGACCATTTCGTTTCTAACGCACAACACCCTTTTGCCCTAAGTAAGTGGATCAGACCACGAATCATATGAAGGAGTTTAGACCTATGGCTTCAACGCATTGAGCTTTGCAAGCTAGCGTTTTCATTCTCTGGGAACTTTATTCTGGAATGGTGCATCCAATTTCGCGGTACAAAAAAAAGCTCCAAGACGACACTAGTGTCTGCTTGAGGAATCCACATAGGCCATGAACGATAAGTTTCTTGTCTGCTTCCGGTAACCTTCCTTGTCTGCGATGGCTCTTTCTTTTTTTGTTCTCGACCCACTACTCTCCTACCCATTTTCCGACTTCAATTGGACTCATTCTCCCTACAGATCTAACTCCAGCAGAAGCGAGCAATTGATAGATTAAACAAGTGGTACGCTTCTCTTACTACGGAGGCTTCGAAATATCACCGACTGCTCGCTTTCGGCCTGGGAATACTCTTTCAAACTTCTTCATCTTGTCCTGTTACACTACCTCTTTAGCAGAAAAACTGTAGCTCTTTTCAACAGAAAATTTGCCATTTATATTTTCAACAGAAAACAGTTCGATAAAACCAAATCACCTGCTTTTATGTGTTGGCTCACAAAGCTCCAGCCGTGCTCCATAGCTCTTCATTGCTTCAATTTTCGAAGGAGGAGCATTACGCGGTACAGCTACACAACAAGGCAGGTTGGACTCAGAAGCCGCCCATGCTAGCCCTTGACCATGGTTGCCAGACGAGTGTGTGACCTATGGAAGGCGACTCTGCCACAAACACTCAGAAGAAAAATTTAAATGTACATATAAAACTAAGAAATAGTAAGGTGTGATGAGAAATCATTCTAGCGCTTATACTCCTACCAATAGCACTGTAGGCTTACGGACGAACGGAGTTTGGGAAGTCGAAAAAAAGGTATCAAAGCTGTGATGCGATTAGGGAAAGGCAGGTTGATTCAGAGCATACCCCCATCAGTACAGAGTTTTGATGAAATTGTTTTTTTCCAGTCAGAATTGATAGCGTCAAGTCACTTATGCACGTCGTAAAGCTGAGCGATGAAACGCAGATGAAACGAACCACTCCCTTCACTGTCCCTTCATCCTTCATCTTCTGAATCGCGTTCAGAGCTCCACGTGCCTTGAAACTGCCGGTTTTCTGTAGATGTTCGCACTTCATGTAGACTTTGCAACCTCAAATGAAGAAAATCCTTCTTCAAACTTTTTCAAACTGCTTGATACATTTTTTTTGTGTTCAAGGAACGCCATTTTGGTCGACGTTTTGGTTTTAAACTGTTCTCTGTGACCGACTTTGCGAGTAATCATTCGTAAAAAAAAATGCATTAAGTCCTAGCAAAACCAACATTAAAGAATACATAGTGACTTTGGCTAGAGGTGTGGCCCGCTCTTCCAAGGGAGTTGGAAATGGCTTCGCAGAAATTACCGCATCCTCTACTATGAACTTGGAGGGTGCGGATACTTCTCGAAAACCACGTCGTGCTCGCCGCAGCCGAACATAACATTCCCCTCAATAGTGTAGATGCGCTCGGGTGCGCATGCGGCACGGGTGAAAAAAACTCATACCCAGAAATTTTACTTGCGTTGCCCTGGATGCAGAATCTGTAACCCGAAATGCCTAGAGACATCCTTCATGTTAAAGGCACACTTCACGATGAAAAGGGTGTCTGATTTCTCCCCTAGGAGTGCCCAGTGGCCCCCAAGGATAACAGGAAGAACGCTGTCGAGTCCCAAAACTGAACAGCTAAGGCATAAGGGGGTACTTTCTTCCCGAAAGCGACGCCGCGCTCGCCGCACTCGATTGCGCGCGGTCGCGCTACCGAGGGAAATATTTGAACTCTGCCAATCCTCCTCATTATGCGAAGTAACAACAAAACTACTGAAAGGTAAAATCTCATACCAGCGATTTTGTCAATGCTCCTGCAGGTGATAACTGGAGTTTGGTGGATCCTTCCAGCAAATCGCTGCTTGGCTTTCCCCACTTCCTCGGCGCAAACAACCATTTCTGTAAACTCTAATATATCATAATGTTGGAGGACAGAATTCCACTATAACAAGCCATACAGCTATCGTTATTCAACTGAACGACGAGCAAAAAGATGCAGAAGAATTATCCCAATTTTGCCAGTCATCTTGAAACAAAACATGCTTGAACGGAGTGGGCTTTGTGTTCCAATCGTTGTACAACAAATGAAACCACCCTCAAATTTAGCATTTACTAGTTTAGGAGCCGAGCAGATGCCCTTTCAGCACCATCATTAGTTTCACCGAGTTCAGTAATTCCCATAGACGAATTTTCGCTGAATCACCTTTTATATTAATACTTTTACAAATTATTTACGATTTTTGTTCCTTTTCTTAAGTATAAGGCCAGTCCGAGAACTCGAACACTTCATAACATTGCGGGAGAATTAGAGTTCGGAGGTATCTGTTCAGGAGAGAATACGTCGCAAATCTATCCGAAAGCCATATCCATCATGCATCGAGGTAGTCATATGTCTTCAGAAAAAAGCAAAAATTTTCTATGAGACAGGAGTATTTGGGCCCTCGTGAAGCAGACTGGGAGAATCTCCTGCTTCATTGGAAGGGACATGAAGAGCTCCAATTTCTCTAGAGTCTCAACAGAATCCAACGTAAGGAGATTGCCAACGAGAGGAAATTTCAAGAGCTATTTCGAACAGTATCTGGTCAATGAATCAAGTTCGATCGGAATTGGATCTCTCAGTATCGAAAACTCCTGTATGAAGGGAAGAAGGACCTCGAAAAGCGGCAGCGACATTAGCAGGCTCACCGACTACCAAATAAAAGCACAACTCCATTTCAAGATTTGAAATTGAAAAGAGAATGAAAGAAGCTAAGCCTGTGTTACAGGTTGCCATCAGTCAAACGTTCTCGTTCAGGCTAGATTTAAGAAATTTTTCAGTTCATCCGCCTTCGATGGTTACAATCATTGGTGACTTGCCTAGCAAAAACAACCGATCAACTCTACCCATCGCAATTTTGGAGGAGGAAGTTTCGTTCATGGTTACGGGATGGGGCCTTTTGTAATGATGTCGCCGTGGAGCCTGCTTTTGCGACCTGCAAAATGGACTTCAGGGATAACGAGGAAGACTTGCAGGGACAGCTGATGCCGTTCTTGAGACGGCGTCGTCTTAACTGCGTTTTCCAACAGGACCACGCTAGCCGTTCCACAAAGAGATTTCGTATTGGTGAAATTTAAAAATTCTGTCTTGTCCAGCTCACAGCCCCGCGGCGCACGAGCAACTGTCAGTTTCAGACAAAGAAGAGCTGATACAGACAATTATTGGTGAAGTAATTCGAAAGGCTGGTTCGATTATCCGATGTTGGGCAGGAACAGGGATGACCTATAGACTATTGGCTTTTTCATTTGTCATTAATATTGATGAACTTCCAATTTCTCAAAATGACCTTATACTTGAGAAATAAAACAAAAATAACTAAAAAAAACTAAAAAAAATGTGAAGTAAGACTTGGCTAACTGAAGTCCGTGATCAGGGGGTATTCAAAGCAGTGAACCTGATAGTAGAGCTGAAAAAGTATCTACATGATTGCTTATTCTGGAAATGCAAAATTTAAGGGTGACCTTATACATATACTTATGAAACGTAAGGTCTCTCCTTACAAAAAAAATCAAAATTCTTCCCATTCTCCGGTACTTTATGAGAAAAACTAAGCCCTCCTACCATGTTGGCCTATTTGAAGCGCATTCCGTCCAGATATCCAGACCTTCTTCTACTGCTCATACTACTGAAGCTTCACCCTGATTTTTTCAATTCTAGACAATCTCGAAACTAGGTTGCTAATTTTTTGAAAGCTTCGTGTTCAAAGTACAGTTCGCTATAAATTTGAGACACCCTTTTAAATTGAATAGCTGGGTGGTCGTTGAAGAATAATGGTGGCGAAGAAAGCAAGAAAATCTGCCGAGTTGGCAAAGAAGCTCTCTAAAAGTAGTGAAAACAGAGATTGTACAAGATTAACATGGTGGAAACAGCAGGGAAGAAGTACTTGGACAAAATTTCAGTTGTTGCACTTGCTCAATACATACATATGTACATACATATATGCATATATACATACACACATATATGCATATATGCATTCATACATATGTACGTCGGGCAAGTAGAAAGAAGTCGTATGAGTCGAATACGTTATTATTCGTCTCCAAATTCAACATGAAATGCACGGTGCGCCCTGAGAAAGCTTGTATAGATCGAGTGGACCTTTTTCTTTCTCTTATCCGTTTGACCCTCAAGGCTGTAGTGTCGACTTTGTCTCCCTGTTCCCGTTGGATGAGCGGAATTTCAAGGCTCTATTATAAGCGAAAACCAGCTGAAGGAGCATCGGCGTCACCGCTTTATTTCAATGACTGGAACGATTCATGAAAAGTAATATGGAAAAATCATCATCGAAATTTTGACATGGACGGATTAATAACGAGGTGGTTGTTTATGCAGTGACAATGTACGATGGAATTATTTTTTTACGGACAGTATGCGAAAATTAAATGATTCGCAAAAACGACGAGAAATCTCGTGGTCTAGAATGATAAGCAAAAGAGCGTAAGAACAACGTAGAGGACATTGAAAAAAACCAGGCAGTGCAAATCAATGGCGCACGGAAACATTCATCGCGGGGCTATGAAAGAGGTACGTTATCAGCACTGAAACTGAAACTTACTCCAGAAAAGCTACTGAATGAGGCTGGAATTTTATGCAAAACAACTTGGAACCAACACAGTGAAACCAGTAAATCTTGTAGCGAGGAGTATAGCATCAGGGATTTCCAGTTTTCCAACAATGAACATTTCTTAGTTGATGGCCTTCAGAATCCTAGCCTTAGTTGTCAAGCCGTAGACTTCCCCAAGGATAAAGTTCCCTCGACCGCAATGCATTACGAGTCGGAGCAGATTTCCCACACGAAAAGGCAACACCATCACACTAGAAATTGCTTCGATATCGATTTATCCTGCACTTTTGAGAGGAAACTGAACACAAAGACGCAAGGACTACCTGACTGAGGCCTCACTAGCACCACGGGTTCAGAAGATAAACTTTCTCATCAATTGAAGTTGGAGGAGGTGGGACAAACACACAGCACATAATTATTCCCGCGAATCAATTAAGGCACCCAAAATTATCGCGAAATTCCTTTAGGTCATTACAACAACTACTTGTTTAGAATTTTTCAAGAAAAAAAAAATAAAAGGGCAGTGTTCTGGAGGAATTCAATTCCGTTCTCGG